CTAAAGGCACGCCAATAATTACCAACAGACCTGACATTGGAGACAACGCGACCGACGAATTGCTCGCGTTTGTCGAGCAAGAGAAATTCCGAACGGAAAGGATAAAACGTCGTTACAACGAGATCGATGATCATTACAGTTTGTCTAAAACGCATAGTATAAATGTTTACGGTCCGGACAACAGGCAAGAAAGAATCGTCGATGGAAGAAACGAACGGGACGACAGTCGTCAACAATTCGGACTTTTGTATCACGAGGAGCTCGGAAATAGCAATCGTTGTATCTACGAGAGCAAACATCGCGAAGATGCACAACGCGGCATTGATTCTCGCTATACTGGCAGTAATGACAAGAGAGGCGGAAGAAACAGTACCATTGAAAACAACGACGTCGCTATCACTATCATTAACAATCATAACAACAATGAGAACGATGGCGGGGTCGACCATGGTGGTGATAACGATGTCGACGACGATGACGATGACGACGACGAATTGAACGATTACGGTTTTAACCGTCGACCATCCGTTACGGGTATCAAGCAACGAGCATCGAAACACACATCGGTCGACACTTTCCATCGAACAGTTCCGGAAAATGACGCTCTGAACATTTCCAAGTCAACCTACCACTCGCCGCAACCGACTTATTACGAAAACAACGGTGTACAAATCGACGGCCGAATCGGACTGTATAACGAAACAACGATCGACAATGGAACCCCACACCCTTTTATCGGTACTATACTTACAGATGAGCGAGACGCGAATACAATCAACAGAATAAACACGATGCAAAAACAAATTGATGACATCTACCAAACTATCGTCGAAAACACAAATGTTACGGCGCAAACTTCCCTAGAACGTGGATCTTACACAGACGATACGTTTCCGCGACAACGCGTTCAGTTGCCTGTGAATGAAACCGCGTTTCATTTTTATCAAGAACAAAAGAATGGTCAACAGTATCTTCTAGAACAATTGAACGCGGTGAACGTGCGGCAGTTGAGAGGTGTGGCAGCCGGAGCCGAAGAAGGGGATAATGTTATCACTGGTAGAGATTGCACGATGAACAATTATCCTACGAACATTCGACGAAGAGAACCATTGTCAACTACAACGACCGTTGCCAATAGCCCCTGTAATACGATACCCGTAATGAACAGTGAATTCCCTCCAAACGGAAAGTGTTACCGAACTATGTATTTTGTCCCGTACAACGATTTATCCGATCCCACTTATCAAAATATTCAACGCATTCTACCAGCTCACCCATCCCCTAGCTACGCGACTCACATCGAAAGGTATCCGTACCCCCGAACAAATAAAAGTGACCATCAACAGCAAACACGATCGCAATCAATCCCTGCACCTCAACAACAACAACCACAACAACCACTA